ACTTTTCTCAAAAAGGTTCAAAATGAAAAAGGCTTAACAACCGTAGCCATACGAAGCGATCATGGTAGAGAGTTCGAACGAGATCTCTTTACCGAGTTTTGTGACGAACTAGGCATTGAGCATAACGAGATCTCAGTGTTGTGTTATCCACAACCGAAGCGGAATATGTTGCCGCCGGTAGTTGTTGTGCTCAAATCCTTTGGATGAAGCAACAACTTGTGGATTATGGCCTTAGTATCGATCACGTCCCTCTTCGATGAAGCAACAAGCTTGACGAAGAATCCGGTTCTTCACTCAAGGACGAAACATATTGACATTAGGCATCATTTCATTAGAGATCATGTTCTCAAAGGTGATGTCGAAATTGAGTTCGTTGAAACACACAACCAATTAGCCGACATTTTCACAAAACCTTTAGAGAAAGAGTCGTTCTTCCGCATTCGTAGTGAACTCGGAATCCTTGACTCCACGATGATCTAAGTTGTACATTAAATATCATTTTTGATCCTTACTAACTTGAACGTCGGAGACGTTTTTAACTCTTTTTTGCAGGGCTCTTCTTCTAATCTTATTTTCAGGTGCCAAAGTCAGGGGGAACAAAGTAAAATCAATTTTTTTTACCAGACTTGGTGTAAATCGATTGACAAGCCTGTGATAATCGACTATCACAGCCCGCAGAAGTTGGAGCAAAGAAACTGAAGGAACCAACAATCGATTATCAGCATTAAGCTAATCGATTATTTAAGTCTGCAGAAGTTAAAGGCAACTCAGGCGCAAACACTAACAATCAATTTACAACCAGGCAGAAATCGATTATTGAAGCCTGCAGTTTCTTTGGCCGAGAATATGAAGACTCAGATAATCGATTTACAAGGAGTGTAAATCGATTATCAACGGCGATTTTTCAAAAATCTGACCGTTACAGAGACGTTAGAACTGCATTCAAGGCATCTTTTTGACTTCCCAAACGCATCTCAGGCCTCTTCCACTATATATTGGTGATATCCTTTCATTTTTTACTCACTCAAATCACAATTCCTTCATATATTCATCAATATTTCACCCTTCTTGCAATTATTCTTCAGTGTTCTTGCAAAATCCCTGCAAATTTCTCTTCTTTTTGTCTTGCTCTCCCTCTCCCTCTTTGTTGAAATGGCAGGAGGTCAAAAAAAAACGATCTCGCACCGGGAAGAACGTTGCTTCCTCCTCGGCTCCTCCACCACCGGCGCACCAATACCTCGACGGATCTTTCTTATGGTTCAACGACCGCGCAGAGGCGACGCAGTTCTCGGAGAAATTTGAGCACCGGGAAATTCTCCCTCCCCGATTCTCCACCGCCCGCTTCATTCATGACTCCATTCCACGTGAGGCACGGGTTATCCTCGAACGTGGAAACTTCCTCGACCTCCTCTACATCAAGAAGGCCAATTATCACCCCTTTCTTGTTCGAGCTTTCTACTCGAACTTGAAAAAGGATGAGGACGGAGCGTTGATCTCTAACGTCAACGGGGTGGACATCTATTTGAATGAGGAAAACATTCAAATCCTCACCGGGCTTCGTCGGGACAGACAGGATCTCGGGCTCTACGTCGGAGAAGAAGGAGCGCGGTTCAATGAGACCGCTCTCTTGGAGGAAGTGGGCATCCGACACTTCGTCCCCACTCCCCAACAGCGGCGCCCTACGATTGCTTCCACGAGTCCCGTGTTTCGATTCATTTTTTATGTTTTGACACGGATTCTCAAGCCTAGGAAGTTCAATCACACCACTCTCTCCCAGGAGGACACGAAGACAATTCATGCGATGATTCACAACGCCAATCTCAATTGGTGTAAATTTGTGATGACTCACATGTTCACCGCCACCTCCGACAATCGGCCGCTCCTCTACGCCCTCCTCGTCATGGCGATTCTTGAAGAGCATAAGATCAAAACCGATGTTGGGCCAAAGATAAAGGGGACAAAGCATTGGGAGATTGATGAATCCTCCTTCCACTCGGGCACCGACGAGACTCCGTTTCGACAGCCTCGTCCACGCCGCCAACGAAGAGCCACTGCCTCAACCGCCACCACTTCGACCAATCCTTCTCTCGCCGAGCAAATGGCAGCCTTGACCGCCACTCTCTCTCGGATTGACACCAACGTCTCCAAAACGGCACACAACGTCAATACCTTGAGCAGTGAACTTCACGGGTATTTTGACTTTGTCAATTACTCGTACGCTCAAATGGTCCCTTACGTTCCTCCACCGAATTTCGGAGGTGAACAGAGTGGGACTCAAAACGTTGGTAGAGATGACGAGGTGGACGATGAGGAAGAGGAAGAAGAAGAGGAAGCCGAAGATAATGATGAAGATGAAGACGATGAAGAAGAAGACATTGACGAAGACCAACTTCTCAATGATCTTTCACCGGACTTCTAGAGCTCTAGCTCTATTCCCTTCTCTTCTTTATTCTTTTTATGCTTTTAATATTTGCTTCCGTCATGTACTCTGCTACTTCCCTTAATTAAGTAATAAAAATCTTTATGGTTTTTGTTATCAAAAATCTTTTTGTTAATGTCAAAAGGGGGAAGATAAGGGCTATGCATATAATAAGGGGGAATTTTTTATAGGGGAATTTTTTTTAAGAGATCAAAACCCTATGCATATCCCCGTCTTGTTTGCCATTATCAAAAAGGGGGAAATTGTTGGAACACACTTTGTACGATAAACTAAAATCGTGTTCATTTCTGACAGGTTTTGATAATTGCCAAACCGCCGTGGATATAAAGAGTTTCGTTGAATAACTCAAGGCGTGAAGAATGGCTTGGAACAAGACCTAAAAGACTCAAGGACAAGATCAAAAATTGACGACTTAGTCAAGTCGGTCTTTTGTGATCAAAACCGACAATAAATTCAAGTCTCGATTCTCAAAAAGTCAAAACAATTTTTACAAATCATAAAATATTTTTTGTGCATCAAAACAAACATTTTTTATGATTTCTTTTATTGTTAAAATCCCTTGTCCTTGCTCAGAACCGAAACCACCTAAGTCGGCGTTCGGCGTTCGGCTTTCGGCGCCCGAACCAACTCCGTGGTTTTCAACACTCTAAACCCTATTTTTACCTCTGAGCATTTTTAAAATGTTCCCAAATAATTATTTTATAAAAACCACTTTTGTATCTTGGTCAATCGGTCCAACTCGTGAAAAATAGTCAAAACCGTACGCACGTATTGTACGACCTTGGAGACTTGGTTTTTACCAAACAAGTCTTGTTTTCACTATTTTATACCATATACAATATTTTCCAAACCTGGTTTTTACTTTTGGGAACACTTCGTTTTTGGACCTCGGTTTTTCAAAACGGGTTTCAGCTGGCTAGACTTTAGCTGGGTGATAATCGATTATCACCTTAGTGACAATCGACTATCAGCCCCTGCAGCTTTGAACTTCCAAAGTTCTGAAGCACGCAATAATCGATTATTAGCTATGCAATAATCGATTATTAGTCTTTGCAGCCAAAACCCAGAATCTTCTGAGAGGACCAATAATCGATTATCACTTGTTGACAATCGATTATCTGGGTTACTGTTGTCCTCCAACGGATAGATTTTTAAATTTTTGGACAAGGAATCTTTTGATAATCGATTATCAAGCTTGGATAATCGACTATCAGCCTGTGTCCCTGAAAAATTTGTCTTCATCCTGTTGGAAACTCTAGCAACGATTTTATCCCATTTTGGGCTATAAAATGGCACCCAAATCCTCTCATTTTACACACAATTCTTCA